TACTGTGACAGGGACCTTTTGTGAATGAATTTGATGCCGATGGACTCCACCATGACCGGAACGCATCTTCATGTCTATGGACACACCACCATGATCCTATCTTGCCCTGGACAAGCGAAAAATGACCACCAAATCGTTGGCTGTTAGTCTGAGGGATGCGAGTGGAACAACATTGCATTGCCATAGGCAGCAACGTCGGCTAGAAAAGGCAACCTCCGCTGAGAGAGAACCAACAGGGGAGGAGAAGCAGCCAGTATGAGGCGATGAGCCGACAACTACCTACCTACAACTTTGGATAAGCAGGCAGGATGTCATTGCGCAGATGAGCCGACAAGTACAAGGACTCAAAGCGGTTGTGACGGGAGAGAGGTGGCAAGTCTATGCGAAGAAGTGCGCTCGCTGCGCAAGAGCAGCGGAAGAAAACGAAAGTCGGGTGTCTTCATCTCGGAATGTGCGTGGAACGTTCGTGGAAATCCCATCCAGTGATGACTGGGTGAGTATGTCGAAAGACGTGACTTGTTTTCTTTGTTCCTTCTCTGGTTCTGTCTCTTTTTTGGCCCCTCAGCGTCAGGATCGTCGTTGCTAGTTGTGGCAATGAGTTACTCTCTCACCTCTCGCCTCGTTTGGTGCGCAAGGGTTTCTCTTCTCCTTTTTGCTTTTCTCTGTTTGCCCGCTGCTTCCGCTCTGGCCTCCGCCTTCCACAAGCTCTTCCTATCCGTCCAGCTTTTGTCACGATTCCACTCCAGGACCTCTTACCGCCGCTGGCGGAGTCGGGATCCCCAGCCCCGTTTCTTGTGTTCCCCAGGGGGTCTGCAGGCCGCCCATGGCCAAGGCGTTGGCCTCCTCATGAGACCCATGGCTTTCTCTCCTGGAGTCCTCATGTGATGGATCGCCTCCGCTGGCGGAGTCGGGATCCCCAGCCCTGTTCTAATCGCGTGGCGGCGGAAGTTGGCGCTTAGCCGTAGTAGCTTGTGCGCAGCCCCTCCGCTGCCCCTCCCTCGTCTTCATCCCTCGGTTCTTTGACACTGATTCAGCGATACTCATCGCCAAGCCTGAGTCGACAGTCTTCGTCCTCTTTCTCCCCCCTCCTGCTTTTCCCTTTGAGTCCCGTTCTGGCGCTCTGCCTGCCAGAGGATAACCTGAGATGGAAAAGAGAAAAACAGCAACGTAAGGACGAGGAGCCATAGCTGCAGAGTGAGGGAGGAAAGGAGCAGCAACAACACAAGTGGTTGCAGCACCATCCGGAGTAGGAGGAAGAGGAGGAGGACCACAGCAGCAGTAGCCGCACCGGAGGGGTGGAGATCATGGACAGGACGACGGACAGGAAGAAGAAGGGGACAATGGATGCAAGTTTTACTTTTCTTGTGATACCAGTACAAGGCAGGTGCCGCTTTGCTCGGAAAAAAAGCAGTTCGAACGGCTGGTTATTCCTCAGCTGAGTCAGCTTGACGGTTCTGGTAGGTGACCTTGCCGTTGTTGTTGTTCAGCGTAACTGTCTGTCTCCAGTGGATGTTTCTTTTGGACGAACATGCGCAAGAAGTAATTCTGCCCGGATCCCTTGGTCACAGCGGACAAGGCCTTGGGAGGATGCATCTGAGTGTTTTTAGGGCTAGATTCTGTAATGAAATTCCGACTGCCAGCATGCCCGCACTCTGTGGGTCTTACCTTCTCCTGCCTAGACCATTCTATTTGGCAATCCTTGCCCTCGCCACAGCTGGGAAGACTGCTTCAGGACCAGACCGCCTGCCCAAGAGACGGACACAGCAGGACGACAACCAACAATATCACAGTCCGAAGAAAGCCCGACGGATCAAGGAACATCTCTACTAACTGCTCCTGTGAGTGTTTTTTTTTTTTTAATCTTTTCAAAAAAGGGAAAGTTTTGAAATGCCCCTGAAGTTTGCGTTTATTTGTGATTTACCCCTCTGACGGCCGACTTACCCTGATTTGCCCCTCTGACAGTCATTGAAGTTTCCGAAAAAACCCTGGCGTCGTTTGGGCCTGAGACATTTTCAATATGCCCCTACAGGTACCCGCGCCAAATTTCCAGTTTGCCCCTACCGGATAGCCGTTCAGTACAGGCACAAGAATTTTCCATACGCTCCTACCGGTACGGTACATCTCTTAGGTGTGCCCTTCTGGTCGTTGCTGGCAGTAGCAACGGCTGTTCCCCTGTCCCTGGGAGGCTGGGACTCCTGGGAGATGTGCTACCCGGGCTTTGTGTGTTGTCATATTCTCTATACACTCAAAAAAGTCACGACTGTGCCAGACTGTAGGTTGTGTGTGTGTGTGTGTGTGTGTGTGTGTGTGTGTGTGATATATATATATATATATGATATATATATATATATAGAGAGAGAGAGACAGAGAGAGAACAGGAAGGTCTCAAGATCGAATGAATATACCTCTAGAACATGGAAATATACACTATACACTTCCACGCGCGTGTGTGTGTGTGTGTGTGTGTGTGTGAGAGAGAGAGAGAGAGAGAGAGAGAGAGAGAGAGAGAGAGAGAGAGACGTGGAACGAGGGGAGGAAAACTGACCTTAGCCAGCGTACTCCAGGCGCGGGGACTTGGAAAAGTATGGGGTTGGAATTCAAATTCTTAGCGCCTCCCCCCTGGAGAGCATCTCAGGAAGATGCATCCCCACAGAAGGGCAAATCGGACAGGCAGCAGGGGAAATAGGACCGCCGGTAGGGGCATTCCAAAAAGTTGCGCACCTCACTGACAGGGGCCTGTTCGAAAGTTCAGAGGCCCAGGGGCAAATCAGGGTAAGTCGGCCGTCGGAGGGGCAAATCGCAAATTAATGAAAACTCCAGGGGCATTTCGAAAATTTTCCCTTTCAAAAATTCACATGTGTTTTTTTTTTTTTTTAGGTCGAAGCTCGGACGGACACCCCGTGCTAGATGGACACCGGTCTGGGGTTGGTGCGGCGTTTTTTTTCCTGGTAAAAAAAGCGAGCTGCTTGGCGACGGGCTGGTGAGCTAGCGCGTGCAAACATCCGTAGGAGGAAGACGAGGCGCTATCCGAGAACACGCTGCTCTATAAATAGCCTAGCCCGATCCAGAGCACACAGTAGCAGCAGACATCGTGATCCCTCTGGCAAACCTTATCGTCCTCCTTGTCGTGATAATTTCCCTTGGCAGCGGCATTCAATAGGTCTGAGTCTGCGAGTTGGACAAGCTGGTGGCTGTCACATTGGACATCTCTCGCATTCCACATTTGCATCATCATCACCACCATCAGCATCATAGCGGCGGTATTCGGCATCTGCATCATCACCATCGTCGTCCAATTCGACGCCTGCATCGTTATCATCATCGCCATCAGCATCATAGCGGCGGTATTCGGCATCTGCATCATCACCATCGTCGTGCCATTCGACGCCTGCATCGTTATCATCCTCGTGGCATTCGACTTCTCCATCATCATCATCATCATCATCATCATCATCATCATCATCGTCGTCGTCGTCGTCGTAGTCGTCCTTGTGTTCGTCTCCTCGTGGTGGCGTTTGACATCTGCATCATCATTGTCGTCCTGGCATTCAAACATCTGCATCGGTAGCAGGAGGAGAAGCTGTGGCAGCAGCAGCAGGAGAAGAAGAAAGTGAAGACGATTGGAAATAAGAACTTGAAGAAGACGAAGAAGGGGGAGAAGACGAAAGGAGGAAAGGAAGAGAGGAGGGAGGAAGGCAGTGTTGGAGAGATCGGAGTGATAGCAGGAGAGAAGGAAGCGATGCCGTTCACGACGTCTACTTCGTTGAGGACATGCTTGTGCACGCGAGATGTATCCTTTCTGATCCTGGGTTTGGTAATTATGGGCAACGGGCTATGGCTGGGACGAAAGGGCTGCACGAGATGCGATGTCTTTTTCGCTCAGCCTTTTCTGATCACAGGGTTCTTCATTTTCTGCATCTCTGTGCTTGGATCGGGGGGGGCTCTCGACACTAACAAGAAGGTCTCAGTAGTCTTCGCGGGCTTGTTGCTGCTGCTTTTTGTGCTGCTGACGGCCTTCACCATCTTCGCTTTCGTGGTGACGGCAGACGGCCCTCGTTTCGACGGGGACGTGGAAATGATCACGCGGGGAGAAGCGGCGGGAAACCCGATTGCCACCAAATTTCAGGGCTCCTCGACCTGGCTGCAGAAGAGATTTACGGACGAGGACACTTGGAAGCGAATCAAACGATGCCTTCCCAAGACTCGCTTTTGTGACACACTGGGGAACAAGTACTCTTCTTCTTCTTCTACCACTAATGGTTCCACCGCCGGCTGGGTGACAATGCCGCCGCTGGAGTCCGGATGTTGCCGACCCCCACGAGACTGCAATTTCTCCGTGATTAACATCACGTTCTATGATCTCAGCACCACCGACGACAGGGTGTCTCTTCCATCGCCGGCTAGCGGGGTTAACTTGGACTGTACTCTGTACCGTAACAACGCCACGGAAAGGTGCTACGCCTGCAGCTCGTGCAAAGCGGCGTTTCTCGACAGCGCGAGGGGGAGATGGCGAACGGCGGCGGTAATCAACATCTGCGTCATCGCGCTCGCCTTGGTAAGCTCAGCATACTTTCTCAGACTCTTCATCAAGAAATCGGGCGTCGGACTTGTCACTGGAGCGAGTGCGGACGCTTCTCCTACCCGTAGCAGGCGGTGCGATCCCCAATCGTCCGTGCCAGGTCAGCCATCAAGCGCGTCCACGTCGACAGGCCCTGCGACTGCATCTGCCGCCGCAGCAGCAGCTGTAGCGGAGGAGGTGCAGGAAGCGGAGAGGACGGCAAGGACGACAGCAGCCGGATCCCGATCTCCGGAACGGGATTCCGCTCAGCCGCCAAGGGACGCGGCGGCAGATTGTCTGCAGATGGAAAACGGTCAAAACCAACACTGGGAGTGCTCCGAAATTCAACCCAAATAGCTCAAAGCCGAGCTGGGGTAATGCGCCGTATGTACGACGCGAAAGTCACTGTGTCCTTTTTTGTCCTTTGCGACAATTTGTGTTAGTTTGGTTTCCCGATAACGGCATTCTCAGGGATCCCCCTGTCAAAGCTAAAAAAAAAAAAAAAAAAAAAAAAAAAAAGCTTGGTAATGATGCTCCCACTGTTCTGTTTCAACAGCAGGCAGACTGTGAGGAGGACCCACCACGGGGCTGCGGTAGGACCTACAGTAGTTCCACCACTCGCCACGGCGTCGTCGTTTTGGTGAGTGGCCTCATGGCTCTACCAACCACTAACCACAGCCCGCGAACGTCGGCAAGAACTACTCTCTGCCGCGCTGAGTGGGCCGGGGTGACCACTTTACCACCACGCGTTTCCTTGGCTTGTCCTTCGGGACAGCCGTTAAAATTGGAACGATACAGAGAAGAATCAGAAGATTAGCATGGCCCCTGCGCTTTCAAGGATGACACGCATAAATCGAGAAATGGCTTTCCTTGGCTCTCCTTTTTCCCGCCTCCAAGGGCGGAGTCTGGAGAAACCTCTGGGCCACAGGGCGGAGTGTGGAGAAACCTCTGGAGTTTGGGCCACTGACCAAGGAACCCACCACCGGGGCCTTTTGCGGTGATAAGCGCTGGCCTTGTCTTGTGTGTCTCTCACATGACTTGAGTGTGGTGGGTGGTTGGTGGAACGAGGGCGACCTTCCGCGGTGAAAAGTCGTGTGGTGACCACTGAGAAATCGAGTCTGGAGATAGAGAGGTTTTTTTTTTTTTTCTGGGAAAGAGATAGAGAGTTTGGAGACTGGTGGAGCGAGGCCCTTAGTAGTAGTACCGGGAATAAACCGTTCGTTCCCGGCTTCGTTTCACAAAGTCAAAAAATTTTGCTTTGGGAAAAAAAAAAAAAAAAAAAAAAAAAAAAAAAAACACGTGCTGCTCAAGGGACCGCGAAAGACGGTCACTCAACGGACCGCATTTTTTTTTCCCTCGGGAGTTTCCACCTCGGAAGAAGCCCTTTATACCTGGCTCTGTTCCCTCTTCCCCTTCTAGCACAACGAATTCCTTCCTCACTCATTCTACAAATCCTCCTTCACCTCCTCCTCCTCCCCCTCTTTCTTCTGTCTGGGGACCTCTTCTCACTGCTTCTGCTTCTCCTCCAAGTCCTCTTACTGCCGGTACGCTCGTCCATGGGCATCTCCCAGGTACGCTCGTCCATGGGTATCTCCCAGGTACGCTCGTCCATGGGTCTCTCCCAAGATCAGGCGACTCGGAGGCGTATGATGATGGTTTCTATTTCGCGTTAACCCGCGCTCAAGAGTACTTTTCTTATTTGCTTTGGGCAATTGTGTGAGCAATCGTCAGGCTGAGCATGTATGTATGCGCTATAGCACTGTGAATGGTGTCCTTCACCTTGCGTTCCCTTCTTCACCCCTTATCATCAACAGTGGATCAGATGGAGCGAGGGACGGTTCCCACTTGGAAAGGTGGAATGATTTCATGAAGGCTTACGACGATCGCGCGAAGAGGCTGACCAAATAAACTAACTAAGATGTGCAGCACCCTCACCTGACGATCGTCTTCGTGAGCATCGAGTACCGGTAGCACATTTACGGTCTCGAATTTGAGCGTGCGCGGAACTCTTTATAGGCAGTGGCGTGCGGAACGCACGCCACGCCCATTAGAGGAACCCCCTTGGCCTGATACATGCAGCAGCGTTTGCAGTGAGCGCCCTCAGCACTCCTTGTCAGAAACGAGTGGGACCTTCGAGAAGGCTGACGCTGCACATGGACTTTCACTGTGGCCCAATCAGCTGACCAGACGCACGTTCGAAGCTGCTGCAATCATTTGCACTCAGGCAGCAGGCAGGTCGATGGGGACGATTGTGTGTGTGTGTGTGGATAGATAGATAGATAGATAGAGAGAGAGAGAGAGAGAGAGAGAGAGAGAGAGAGAGAGAGGGGGGGGGGGGGGGGGGAACTCATCCCTTGTGAATAAAGGAGGCGTGTTGTTCTCTTTTTCCCCTGCGTTTTGTTTCGAAAAAAAATGACGATCGTTCCAGATGTTAACTCCCGGTACTGAGAGCATTACTCATCTTCGCTTATGAGGTGAGCTGTCCGACTTCCTCAGGGGTAACAGCTGTGATAGAATTATGAGGTCCCGGGCCTCGATTATTCATATATTGGTTATAAGAATATTGGTTATAAGAAAAAAGAGTCCGCTCAATTTTGCTCATGGAGCCCCCTTTGTTGGCGAGAAGTCCAAGAGCACGTGGCTCCGTAGTGTTTTTACTTTTTTTTTTTTTCCTTTTTTTTTTC